AAGTAAACTTTCAGAAGCTTTTACATCTTTAATTTTAAATTTAAGGAATCAAACGAATGTGCTTATGTTTTTTAAACTCTTCTATTAATTAAAAAATGTAGTTCTTGTCTAATTAAAAAATTATAGAGAAATATAGTGTGAGTGTTGTAATCAATTTTACTATTGCTATTAATGGATTTGAAAATTTTAACTTGAAATTCAGTTCTCAGAACAGACATCATTCTGATAGGCAGGGAGCCAAGTATATAAATCATTAACAGCATGAATTCTTTTTATTAAATGGGAAAAATATTCGTCTGAAAAAATGCCATTCTGATAAAAAAATAATTATTTTTGTATTAAAATATAATCATATGGTATTTAAATCATTCATTCGATAGTTTTTCCATTCGTATGGTACCGGTTTCATGCAATTCCATTTTTCAAAATTATAGTTCTTATTACCACACATTTAATATAAAAACTAAAATTAAAAGTAGATGGAACCAAATGAATTGTAGTCCTTGTTTTATGTATCATGATAAAATATGCAACTTTTACCTCATTTACTTACTACCAAGCAGTATTTTAATAAAAATATTTTTTTGTAATATTACCAAAAATAAATACCAAAGCGCTTCAGTGAAAATTTTCGTGCATTTTGGTATCCCCATAAAGCCAGAAACATAGCTAATTTTACCATATTCTGGAATTTTTGACTTAACTTCTTTTCTCAGGGAGTTTATATTGAATTTTTTGTGGCTTAATTATTAGCACATTAATTTTTAGGGTATTTATTACTAAAGCAAGTGTTGAGTTTTCATTTTTTTACAGATTTTTTGGTCATATCAGTACTTTCATTTCTAAAATTAAATTCGATACATTTTTGTTTGTAAAAATGTGAAAATAGTTATACAAATGCTTTGATATATTTTAGTAATTCAATTTGAAATAAGGATTGCGTATAAAATTTTATTATTTTTAGATAGATGTGAAAATAACATTCCTAAGTTCTTAAAAACGCTTATCACTTTAACTTATATGACTTGCCTCTTATAGTTTATCCGCGACATTTTTTGTGAAACTGTCCTATGAAATAAAAACTTAACTGCTTCATTATAGTGTGGTGATTTTCCTTTAAAAAGGATATTAGCGTAGTTAAAATGCAAGTTCATCTTAAACTTTGAGTGTTTAAACATTAATTATTGATATCATTAATTATTAATAACAATAATTATTTTAAACATTAATTATTGGTAACATTTAAACGTAGAAAATTATATTTCATTTTATTATATTTTTTTTTATCAAAATGATTTTATGTAAACCATGAAGTTTCAAATGCAGCATGTGTATTTTTAAAATATCAAATTAAAAACGAATTATGACAGATATATTCAGTATTATGCAGCAACTACGTAATTCTACAATAATTTGCTTGTATTTAGAAATTTGAAAAAAAAAATATATGAATTTTATGGTTGACTTGAACTCGTTTTTTCTATACGTTAAATTTTAAATTAGTTATAGAGGGGACATAGAATTAGCAATGAAAAGTTTATCCCGCGTTATAGTGTCCTCTTAAGTGACATCTAGCAGGAAATAACCCCTTAGTTCACTGCATTTTAAACCAACACTCGCTGGGAGATCTGCCATGCGTAATGATTGATTACTTATTTAGTGCACCTTAAAAATGTGGGAATGTAGATAGATTGCAATGTTTTTTGTCAATAACACAATGACAGAAGACACGTGGATCTTAAAACTACAAACTTGAATAGATGGGTTGTGTTCGGGCTTAACAATCTTTAACACAGAAACACAAAAAACACGGAAACCTTCTTGGAATAGAAATAATTTCTTTGTTAAGGCCTGAAACCTGTGTGGTTTCAAAAAATAGGAATATCTGATTTAAGTAATTTATTGTCAAGTTTGATGGGGGGTTTCTTCTGACTTTTTGTTCCTTGCAAGATTTTCCAATGATGCATTCATACTTTAGATTCATACTTTCTTCTTACTTTTTTGAAGGAAGAATGTTATTATACAATAACAATAAACATTTTTCAACTGAGTGAAAGTAAATTCAGGAATTATGAATTCAATCCCCCGAACCATTTCTATTCATCATAGTTTTTCTTTCAATTTCAAGATATATGGTCTTTTCCCAAAAATTATTTAGTTCAAATAGTAATAATGATTTAGTTTCCTGTGACGCTCGGGTGGTCTTTTTGTTATTCAAGATACATACAAATAGAATTATTAAAGTAAAATGATCTGCATATAGAAATCAGAAATAGCATTTATTTTTCATAGAAAAAAATGAGTGATTAAATGAATTAAATGAATAATGAAATTATTGATTCTTTAAACCAACGGCATGTTTTTTTTAAGTATCCAATTGCTTTAAGGCACGTTTTGAGACAAGATGAGATTTTTTACTATATAGCGAAAGGAAAATATCATAAACAAAAGTTGTTTTATAAAACTTTATGGACTAATACTTAAATATTTTATGTTGTTCTATCTCTTTGCCTGTGTTTGAATATAGAAACGATTTTTATATTTATTATTATATATTATTTATTATCTCAAGAAAGCCAATATGCTATTATTGATTTAAAAAGTTTAAAAAAAAGGTTTTTTTTTAAACTATTAATGTTATTTAACGTAACGTAACGAAATAGAATATTTTGATATCGAAATTAGGAAGTATCGCATAATGAAAATTTTTGATTGTAGCTATGGATAGATTTTTGATAGGTATGAAAAATATATATTAAAATTAATTTACTACGCTTAGTAAAGAAATATAAAAAAATATATATTTTTAAGGCTTTTAAATTTTTCGATTCATGTTATTCGGATATTGAAGTTTACAACATCGGCATGATTTGCTTAATTATTTTTCAAATAAAGTATAAGAATAGAGTACATTACTCAATATTTTGATACGTAAAAGAATGCTTTTTATTAAAATGAAAATAAAAGAAAATATGGCATATTTATACTAGTTAAGGCTTTTGATGAATTTTTCAAACAATGTAATTACAAATGATTTTAAGTTTTGCATAAGTAAAAAATATTCTTTATTTTGTATAATTTATAAAACTTACGATTCAAAAAAAAAATTTTCGTAAGAAAAACTTAATTGGGATAATTATTACCTGATTATCCCAATAATTACAAAATATTCAAGTGAGTTTTTTTTAATTTTACCTTCTATCTGGTCCGAAACATTTTGCTCATGGGCTGCAATCGGGGCACAACTCAAAAAACACGCGTTTTGGAATAAGAACAGGTGTAAATATGAAATGACACATTCTTTCAGCAGCAATTCTAGCACAACCCATAATTCAATTTGAAGGTAATCTTCGTTTAAGCAAACTGAAGCATTTCTTATGCATTTTCTTTAGAAATGAAAACTTTAAACCAACTTATCTCAAAACTTGATTTTTTGAGTTGTGCCGCTATCGCAGCCCATGAGCGATATGGTCACAATTTCTGACTTGTTTCTAACTTTTATTTTGCAAAACTTAATTGGGATATCTACTTCCTAA